CAAAAGTGGGCTTCCTTTCTTTCTTTTTTTAATACTAAGGCTATGTCCATTTCTAAAGAGGCACTTTGCTTAGTTGGATATTCAAGCAAATTTCCTCTTCAGAACTTTGCCACAAAACATGACAATGTCCCATTTCAACAAGATGAATAGCTTGCCATTTGGCTTCACTCATTTATCAATGGCAGGATAGCCACAGTTAGCAAGATTGATTGGCCAGCTGAGACCAATTAGCTGTTTTCATGTTTTATCAAAAAGCAATGTGTCCCCACAAGGTATTTCCCTGTTGAAAGTCTGCCACATTTAAGCAGATTACCTATGAACTATGAACCATAGTCAAACATATGTATAAGCCTTGCACATAGCCCACTTGCTCTACTACATCAGCTAGAACTGGCAATTGAAACTGTAGCTACAGGTATTCCTGAATATTTTTTTAATCTCAGCAGATGTATGGATGTGACACACTTCTACATGTGGATGTATACATGCAGAGACTACACTCACCCACCAACACACAAAAGAAGCAGAACAAAAATTATAGAAATGTTAATTGTATTAAAGAGTACTGATTGAAATTACTTGCCTTGCTGGTAAAATAAGGCATATCATTTGTAAAACACATTGGTCCTCTATTTGAATGCAGAGGAACTTCCATCATGACAACAGTGTGACACGACTCTTACCATTTTGATGAAATCAGTAGATCCTGTGTATCCCTTGGTTCATATGATTGGGAGCAGTGGTGGGATTCAAAATCTTTTACTACCGGTTCTGATGGGCATGGCTTGGTGGGCGTGACCATGTGACTGGGTGGGCGTGGCTTTTTTGCAGCCCCCACCCATTTTTGGGAGCTTCCTAGCCACAGAGGAACCTCTGGGGGGCTGTTTTTGCTCCCCTAAGGCTCCTCTGGGGCTCAGGTGAAAAGGAACAGAGCATGGGAGAGGCACACAGCACCCCTCCAAGTTCCATTTTGGGAGCTTCCTAGCCTCAGAGAATCCTCTGGGGGGATGTTTTTGCTCCCCTAAGGCTCCTCTGGGGCTCAGGAAGAAAAGGAACAGAGCATGGGAGGGGCACGCAGCACCCCTCCAAGCTCCGCTTTGGGAGCTTCCTAGCCTCAGAGAAGCCTCTGGGGGGACGTTTTTGCTCCCCTACGGCTCCTCTGGGGCTCTGGAAGGCAAAAAATGGAGGGGGGGCCTGAGCTCCTCACTCCATTTTTTGCCTTCCTGGGCCTCAGCAAGGGAAATCCCGGCACAGCTGATCTTATCTACAGCTGATTATCGGGAGGGGAAAAAAAGAAAGAAATACCTTAGGCGAATGTCAGCCAGGCGGGCGGGGTGAGCGAGCATCGGGTGGGAGAGCGACCAGGTGGGGGCGTGGCCAGCCAGAACTTACTACCGGTTCGGTGACCCATGCCAAATTCTTGCTACCGGTTCGCCCCATTCGGTGCGAACCGGCTGAATACCACCACTGAAACAGCCTTATTCTGGTGTTTTTGTGCTGTTCTAAATGCTCAGTTATTTTTTTCTTTCAATTCTTTTACTTCTTTAGTTAGAACTTTGTTCTTCATGAGGCAGAGGAGTGGGTTCCTGGTTTCCAAATGAAAACAATTGTATATCTCTGCTGGACTCCTCTACTACCAACTCCTCCTGGTTTGTTTCTCTATTCTGAGTTACTTCTGACAAGTTTTTGATTTTTTTTGCCCTGGATGAATCTTTGCAGTTCTTCTAGTTCTGCATCTGTGAATACTTTATTTTGTATTATAAATTGATGTTGATCTGCTAACCTCTGTTCTTTTATTTCTGATTCTGGATGTTGTTCTTTCCAGAACTGGTGCATTCATTTCAAATATCCACTTCTTGCTTTGTAATAGCAGATCATTATTTCTTTGATTTCAATCTGGTAAAGACCTTTTTTTCCAGTAATTCTGTAGCTGCTGGCCCTGGTTGCTCAGCTGAGACATGTAGCCCATTTTTCACCAGATATCCAGGAACTCCAACATCTAGTGTGGACCTTGGTTGACATCTGAGCCAATATGGCTTTCTGAAATTTATGTCTCACCATATTTTTCATGGGAGTGACACTCTGAATCTGACCTGTCTAGTATGGTTGAACCTCTGGCATGGCTCTCATCTTCCTCAGAGCACACAAGCCCCACAACCACTTCAAGGTAGTGCCTCACTGGGAGCTTATTATTGTTGTTGTTATTTGCACAGTCAGCCATATGTTCAGACTGGGTTTGGCATTTTTGCCTGTTTATCCAGTCCTTTCAATATTTATTTTAACATTATATAACATTACACATTAAAGTATATCAAGAAAAAACAGGAAGTACCTGTTGTAATTAAGATAGATTGTTTATTAGAGCAAAAGATAGGTGGGCAGGAGAAGATCACCAGGCCTGAGCCTCAGCCAAGTTCCTAGGATGAGAGTAGGAGTTGAGTGTCCTGGGCAAAAGTTGCCTTCTTGGTGGCAGACCAGTGCCACCCAATTACTGCCATATTCTTTGGCCTGCAAACCTGCCAATTGTGCTTGCAGAAACCGAGGAGGGCCATGCTCTGTCCCTTTAAAGAGTTTGCTGACCCCTAATAATAGAATCCAACCATAAACCTCAGTCCAATAATTAGGGCAGAAATTTTTATTTGTTTCAGTGACCAGAGATGGCAGTGGGCAGAGTGTGGCATAGTGGATATAAAAGGAAACAGAGCCCTTCATTTCCATTTTTAAAGATTTCAGGATTGTTTTCAGAATAGGTTTCAGGTTTCAGGATTCTTAGCTATATATTGTATGATTTTAAAAATAAATTAAAAATACTTGGGGAGAATTGAATCCCTGCAATAATGTTCAGAAATGATTGGCTGTCATCCTTTTGTATTGGATGTGTAATATGGACCAGGGGTCGCCAACCTTTTGGACCTCAAGAACCACCAAACTCATAACTTTAAATCCTGCGGACCACTAATATGAATTTTGACTGACGGTGGCTTGCTGACATTGGTGGGAAAGTCAGTCCTATATTCCAGACTGCAGTAGTCACAGGACTGGCCCTTTGGTCATCCCAAAGTAGCTGCACCCTGGTGCACCGGCCTGCCATGGACTGGAGGAGCTGCTCTGGGATGACCAAAGGACCAATCTTGTGACTACTGCAGCTCTGGAATATGAGACTGACTTTACCACCAACGTCAGCAAGACACTCTGGGACAGATTTCCCTACCCCGCCATTGGTCTTACCTTCCAGTTCCAGCTTGCATGGCTCTACTCAAGGTAAGGTTTACGCTCAGTCGAAGGGTGAGGCCAGTGGGTGGTCGGGCCATGTGGGAGGTGCAGCCTTGGGTTCCTGTGCAGCCTGGATTAATTGCTTTGGGGGGAGTGTTTGGGGGGGCATTTCTCTGCGGACCACCAAAATTTTCTCGCAGACCACCAGTGGTCTCCAGCCCACTGGTTGGTGACCACTGATATGGACGGAACTTTAGTGCATTAGCATTTCCTTATTAGATATCTTGGATTGCAATTGTGCATTCCTGGAAGGAAGTGGCAAAATTAATTAAACTCAGCCTTTAAATGCTTGCTGTCTACTCAAGAAGAGACAAAAATCAAATAATATGATTCCTAATTTAAAAGTGTAGAATGGCAGCAGAACTTTGAAATATAGTACCTTCATTGTTTTTTTCTGTATTTCCTTTTTGTCTTTGTTTTAATTTTTGTCTGCTTATTCACCTTTCTCTTGGTTTGTTTCCATGCCATGCTAATTTGCTTTGAATTTTCTTATTTTACATTTGTTCTTTTTAAGAACATAGTTTATATCAATTTATCATATGTATTAGCTCAGTGGTAGGATCTATCTAATTTAACAACCGGTTCTAATGACTGGGTGGGCATGGCTGGGAGGAGGGCATGTGACTGAGTGGGCATGACCAATTTGATGTCACTCATGGCAAGGTGGGGCGGCACAAAGGTGGGGCGGACCAAAGCAGCAGTGGCTGGAGCATTGGATTTAGCTTTGTGCAGCAACAGCAACAGTGATTCTCTGACACCTCATCTCTTGCTGGGTCTCGCTGCCTGACAGGGTTTTAAAAAATATTTTTGCAGCAGGAAACGGTGGGCGGCTACTTCCGGCCTTCGTTGGTGCAGCTGGGCACAACTCCACCCCGAGACACTGGCCTGCTTCCGCTACCTTTTTCCCGGCACAAGGGGCCTCCAATCGCTGCCACTTTCCCAGCGCGAGGGGCCTCCAGCCACCGCTCTTTTCCAGCGCCTAAGTTCAGGCCAGCAAAGAGATGGTGGCTGGAGGCTCCACACACTAGCTAAGAAGCAGCAGCTGCTGCCTTGGTTCAGGCCAGCAAAGAAATGGAGGCTGGCAGCTGCTTACACCAGCAAAGAGGTGGCGGCTGGAGGCTGCTTGCACTGGCAAAGAGATGGTGGCTGGAGACCCCTTGTGCTGGCAAAGAGGTGACGGCTAGAGACACTTTGCAGTGGCAAAGAGGCAATGGTTGCCACCTTGGTTCAGGCCAGCAAAGAGGCAGTGGCTTCTGCCTCAGTTCAGGCTGGCAAAGAGGCCGGGCAAAGGCAGGCAAGTGGGCTGGGCCACAGGGACCATATGGCCAAGGCAAGTGAGCTAGCGAGCGAGGGTGCCAGAGAGCAGCAGCTGCTATGATGCCAAGGCGGGCGAGGCAAGTTAAGGGGTGACTGGGAGGGGCGGGGGGGGGGCAGCCAATGGTGCAATTAGCCGATTCTCTGAACTGTGCAAAATCTTAACCAGTTTGCCTGAACCAGTCCGAACCAGCTGAATCCCACTTCTGTATTAGCTGCTACATTATTAATATGTAATGTCTTTCAAGAACTTTTAACCATAATGTTTCTAACATTTAATAAATAATTGAATATAAATATTGGGGAGAAATTTATTGTCCATTTGAGCTTTGTTGATGCCAACTCACATTGTCCTTTGATTTTGTTAATTCATTTCACAATTGCTCAAGATATTTAATTGTGTTACTTTACAGTGAACGATGCAGGTATACCTTGCGTGGCCACAAGGATTCAGTAAACAGCATCGAGTTCTTTCCTTTCTCCAATATTATTCTCACCAGCTCTGCAGACAAGACTTTATCTCTGTGGGATGCCAGAACGGTAAGTAGGCTTTGGGATGTATTACTAATTCATGTAAACTGGACAGGTTCAATGGTTGCTTAATGAGCAAAATTAAATCTATTTCTATAACAAATCAGGTTCTGGACAGAAATTGTGTGATTACAGAGATGTATTTGGGTTCTACTGAGTGTTACATGAATCGTAATTTTATAGGATATATTATTTCCAAACATTTAGTTTGAATTGTTGTAATTTATGGTAAGCTAGTCCAGGGGTCTCCAACCTTGGCAACTTTAAGCCTGGAAGACTTCAACTCCCATGAAGTCCTTCAGGCTTAAAGTTGCCAAGGTTGGAGACCCCTGGGCTAGATCATATATTTTTGTGGTGTCTTGAAATGCTCATTTCTGTTAGTCTTTAACATCTTTGCAAGGTGAATAGTGAATGGTGACATCCAATTTGAAAAAAGCTAATTATCTAAATCTAAAATAGCCTAACATCAATACCCAGGAAGATACTGGAAAAGATAACAATAAAAAAACAGATCACCAACATCTAGAAACGAGTAAAGTCATAACTAGCAGTTAGCACGGGTTTGTTAAAAACAGATCATGTCAAACCAAACTTATTTCATTCTTCAACATAATGACTAAATTAGTAGACCAGCAAAATACTGTGGGCATAATATACTTAGACTTAGCAGGCATTCAACAAAGTATACCGCAACCTACCTCTTGGTAAGGTAGCTAAAAGTGAGATAGCTAGCATCACCACCAGATGGATTTGTAACTGGCTGACAAACCATACTCAACGAGTAGTCCTTAATGGAGGAAAGTAAGCAGTGGGGTACCACAAGGTTCCGTCTTAGGCCCAGTATTCTTCAATATCTTCATAAACGACTTAGATGAGGGAAGAGACGGAGAACTTAACAAATTTGCAAATGATACTAACCTGGTAGGAATACCCCAACACCCTAGATGTTAGGCTCAAGATCCAGATGGATCTTGACAGATATGAACACTGAGCCCTATCTAACAAAATTAAATTCAATGTAGAGAAAAGTAAAGTCTTAACACATAGGCAAGAAAAGCTACAAGTACACGTATAGACTGGGTGAAACCAGACTTAATAGCAGTAACTTTGAGAGGTATCTTGGAGTCTTAGTAGAAAACCAGCTAAATATGAGCTAGCAGTGTGCAGTGGCAGCCAAAAAAGCCAATGCAATTGGCTAAGCTGCATTAACAGAGGGATACAATCAAGATCAAGTGAGATACTAATACCATTCTATAAAACCTTGGTAAGAGCATGCTTGGAATACTGCATCCAGTTTTGGTCACCACACTATAAAAAAGATGTTAAGACTCTAGAAAAAGTACAGAGAAGAGCAAACAGGATGATTAGGGGACTAGAGACTAAAACATATGAAAAACGGTTTCAGGAAGTGGGCATAACTAGTCTAGTGAAGAGAAGGACCGGGGAGGCATAATAGCAGTGTTCCATTATCTGAGGAGCTGCCACAGAGAGGAGGAGGTCAAGCTATTTTCAAGGCACCTGAAGGCCAAACAAGGAATAATGGATGGAAACTAATCACGGAGAGATTCAACCTAGAAATAAGGAGAAATTTTCTGAAAGTGAGAACAATCAACCAATGGAACAAATTGCCTTTGGAAGTTGTGGAAGTTTCATCACTGAAGGCTTTCAGGAAGAGATTGGACTGCCATTTGTTAGAAATGGTGTAGGATCTCCTGCTTGGGGGCGGGGGGGGGGGGGTTGGACAAGATGACCTACAAGGTTCCTTCCAACTCTGTTAATGTGTAAATCTGTTTCAGTTTGGCTTGAGTATTAAAGACATCTTGGTTGCACTGATGGTTGAACTTTACTATGAGACAAGGTGAGTTCTTCATTGTGATTCTGCTGGAACTTTCCAAGAACTTTGACATTATTGGTCATGATGTAATATTACTGCAACAATTTGATGATTCAGGTGTGTTTTTGTTGTTCCATTACAACCTGTAGGATCACCACCAAGAAATTTGGAATTGAATGAGAGTATTTCCTTTTTTCCATCTTTATCAAGAGGGGCTGGGCAGGTAGTTGGCAGTTCTTTGAAGGAAATTATGAAAGGCAATAGAGTGAAACTGAATAAAATTATGATTCCATGCACAGCTGGTTATTTAAGTTAGCAGAGTTCTCCCTTTGATTTCAGTCTATTATTAAAAGAACAGTTTGGAAGAAACATCTGTGGGTAAGTTCCAGCTGGTGCATCAGCTATTATTCTACTGGAACTGGAATAACCAACGCCTAAGTGAATTCTAATAACGCTCATGTCTGGATGATTGTCATATTGTCAACAGAATAGGGGAAAGGCTTGAAAGAAAGGAGGAAGAGTCACTAGCAAGCAATAGTAAATAAAGAGGGACTTGAGTCCAATCCAGAAAATTGGTTTGAGTAAATGTCTCATAGAAGCCTCTTCCTAATTCACATGAAGATAAAGTGAGGGGGAAACATATTCAAACACATTCAAACTTGTAAAATTCTGTTAGTATAACCATTACAATAAAAGCAATCCTGACCTTGATTTCTTAATCTCATTTACCTTGTTGGGCTGACATATGTGCTACTACAGTACATTCTTTGTGAATTACACCTGAAGATAATGTGGAAAGGGCAAAATCTAATTGTTAAGTGGTCACAAGGCCTTTGTTGTCCATGAGCTACCTGGCCCTATCTACAGTAATAGTATTAGTCTATAAAGCTATAGACAACATATATCCTGATTTTAGCATATGCTTTAACAAAGTATCAGCTAACTTTCTGGTTAGCAAGTGACTTGACAATCACATTCAAAGAGAGTTCATTATTTCTAAAGTACCTGAAAAAGATGACTAGTAAACTTCCTCCAGCCAAGATCTGCTTCGTATCATTCTATAGTTATGCGCACAATACTATATTTTTATGCATATAATACTGTATTTAAATTGCAAGAAAAGTTAGATGTCTACAGAGATTCTCAGTCATCCAGGTCATGATTTTCCCAAAGGTGCTTTTCCAAGACGCAACTGGACTTTCTTTCTTTTTTCTTTGAAGACATTTTGCTTCTCATCCAAGAAGCTTCTTTAGACATACAAAAACACAACTGTGCCATAGGTTTACCTATGTTCCCCAGATGGTGTCAGGACAGCCTATTTGTAGGTGTGGGGAAGTTTGACTGAACAGGTTCTTTGGTTAATTACTGTTGCTGAGGTTCTTGGTTTGGTACTTGGTTTTGCTATTATCAGTTGATAGCTTAGCAGAGGTGCAGTTTCACAATCTATAGTTATAATGTATTTCCCATAGATTTCAGTCTCAGTAAATCATGGATTTGTATCATTGGATAAGGGATAGCTGAGATAGAGAAATAAAGTTGTTTGGAATAAAGAATCTCCTATTATAATTATTAAAATAAAATACTTTCCACACTTGTTACATTCCAGAGTTTCCAGAGTTTCGAAACAAATAGAACATAGTTAATAACTTTCTTAATATTGCCTGTCTGCTTAATTATGTTTATATGATAATATGTAGTTTTAGTACAAAACACTTGTCTATAAAAATTTAGCAAGTCATACCAGAAGAGACTTATTCTTTCTTAAAATATGTTGACTATTCAAAGCTCAGAGTTGACATATCTCTGAAGCTCTGAATAACTGGGTTCTAACTGAAATTTTTTATTTAAGCCTCAATATAAAATCAAAAATAAAAATGGAGCAATTGTAAGTAATTTCCACTTTTGAAACAAAAATATGTATTAATACTTCTGCATTTGCAAAGAAACATAAATGACAATAATAAAGCATTACACTTGGAGGACAGTAAAGAACTTTGAAGTGGTATATAAGTCTAAGTGCTACTGCTATTACTAAATAGATTATTAGTTGTTCAAAATGTAGAGTTTTCTCTACATACTTTATGAAACCAAGCACAGAAACCCCTGCTGATGAATCCTAACCTTATACAATATATCTGACTTTATAGATCCACTAAACTAAACTCTCATTTTCTAAATTGTTCCTGCTCTAAGTTCTCCATCACATTGCATGGTATGCAGCATTAATAGTTCCTCACTTTTAAGAACATAAGCATAGAAGGTAATATATTTAGTACAGAAAAGTTTTAAAGAAAAATGGGGAAGAGCATACTATTTATTTGGCCAAAGCTGTTAAAATGGAAACCTATCTGCAGCCTTTATATTAGTGATGGATTTATGATCTGTGGTATACTGCCCTTATCTACCATCTATTCAGACCTCCAGCTGGGGCTTCTCTAGAGAAACCCCTGAGGCTATTTGAATTGTGCAGAAATGTTCTTCCTAGTTGAAAAGGGAATTTGTAATCAATTTTCTCCATACTAGGCAAAATGCTTTTTCCTGTCCACATTTACTCTTTAGTTTTCTTCTGCACAAAGTCTCTGGAAGCACCAGAGGGACAGAACACAATGATAATAGGGTTTATAAATCAATCTTTTTGTTGTTGTTAGAGCTGGGAGCTGAATGTCAATGATAGCCCGAAAAAGACTTTGTAGAAGATGAAAGCCTTTACTTAAAAACTAGGAGGGGAAAAAATTCTCAAGATCTTTTTTCCAAAGTGCATTGATGTTTCAGTGCTGTTGGGCTTTCAGTCCTGAAGGACTCTTTCAGGGCTTACAAGTTATAACTGAGTTCTGTGCAGAAAGTTGGTCAATCAGGAAAGTAAGATCAATGTGACATTTTATAGGAACAAACTAATTGGAAACTATACTACTGCATGTAGAACAGTTTCCTTCTCGTGTATAAGTGTGACATAAGACATTATGTCTGCATAAAATATGGATGCATAAGACAATTTCAGAACAAATTTTAAGTTAGTGTGAAACTGTGCGCCAAAGAAACACAAAGCAACTAGGAGAAGAGTATTATTGTAAGGTTATATTTGCACAATACGTTTAACCAGAATGTGGGGCTGGTGTCTCATGCACATTTTCAAAACCAATCTAATTGATTCCAACCAAAGGAACCCAGAGAAAGT